CATAACAACGCAAATATTAACATATCTTTAATATTATGAAACACTGAAAAATTTTTGGGTACTTACTTGTTATCCCGTTCACCGTTTGCGGAGATTTTGGCAGCAGTCGCCAATCCTTAGTCGTTACTGCGGAATTCTAAATGAATTTTGGCACTAAATAGAGCTAATTGACCGGCCGACTGGATAAGTACCATTTCTTGTCATTTTTGTCCAATTTTTACTTAACTGCGGGGCTGAATAATTTCATCTTTGATTTAGAGTCATATACAGCTTCGCATTTCATTTACACTAGTAAGAAATCTTCCACAAAATAATTTAGCATGATTTCATTATTTTGTAAAGTTTCCTCATTAATAAACTAAAATACTAACAAATATTTTATTTTCCTTTTCACTTCCTCGTACGAAGTAAAAAGGAAGTATTGTAATCGCGAATCATTTCGGGTATCATATTTCAACGAAAATATCCATTCGTTATCGAATGTGTGTGTGTGTGTGTTGTGTGATTATGGCAAAGCCTCGAGGGCTATCTGCCTAAGAGGAGGGATGCCTTCGTGGAGGACTTTCTAAGGGAAACTGGCTCGTATACACGTTACACATGGGGAAAACCACGAAAACGCCCATGCAGCCAGCCCGTTCGCGGGATTCGAACCTCGGACCGAACTACCAGTGTTCAGCGACTTTACCGCTCGGCCGCTGGTGGGCCCGCTATCGAATGCAATTTAACGATGCTTTTGCGTGACATCTGTACGTACAGACACAATAAAAGCATATTTCCCTCCTCACCCCAAAAAATTATAGAACTTATTTAAAATAAATTCTGAAGAGATTTTTTCGAGGCGTCTGCACGTACGTACGTATGTATGTTTTCATCTCGCATAACTCAAAAACGAGTAGCCTCAGAACGTTGAAATTTTATATGTAGGACTATTATAGCATATAGATGAGCATCTCCCATTTTGGTTGCAATCGGCAACACCAAAAGTATACAAATATATGTATGTATATATCCCCTCTGTTACTCGCCTCAGTGAGCTCAGTTTCTTTATTCTTATGTGTTTGTAAATTGTGCATTTTTTGCTTTAAAAATGATTGAATTATTTGTTCTTATTTTCTGGTTACTGTTTTTATGTCTTTAGTTAACCTGCATGCAATAAATGTGGAATTATCAATAATTGAAAAGTTTTTTAAGTGCCTCTAAACTTAATTTTTGTTTAGCACAGCAGTCATATTTGTTTACATTTGAAACTTAGCAGAATATCGGATTTGTTGACAATCTAGAGAAACTAAGCTTCGCAACAGCAAAGTAATGTCTTTTTTTATTATTGCGAATTAATAAATTATGCTTAATTCATTCTGCAATTATCATTTAAGTTATTAGCTTGTTTTTGCATAAAGACTGTAATTTTAATTGCAAAAATCGTTTTTTATTGTTTTAACTGTACTTAATGTTTTATGTTTTTTATATCTTTCAATTTTTAATGAAAATATTTTGAATTTTTATGTATTTTTGCCTTGACGCGAAGGGAGAACTGAATTAATTAGTAGCGCATACGCATTAGGTAAGCGGCGCGGAATCGTCTGTAAAAAACTGTTTCTTTTTTATTTGTTTAATTTCTTTAACTCGCCGTATTAGATTTATAGTATTTGAATGGAATATGTGGTAATTTTTCAGATGATATAATTTTTATGCGCTCTGAGTTATAAAATGAATGAAATATTACGCTGTTAAGTGCACCTAGCGCCGAAGAGTCGCTATGGTAAATAAATATAGTGAACTTTTAAAGAGTGCATTTATTCTGTTGTGGTTTATGCACTATCGACGAAGTAGATTTAATTCAAAATTCATTAACTGTTAATTCAATATGTTTAAATGAAATGCAGGAAAATTGCGTATAATTTAATATTCCGTACAAGGAAGTCATGTGGTGTACACATCAGATTTTTTTTTAATAAGAAAGGTATATCACATGATAAGATTTATTTATTTTTACTTTGAAGAATGCAGCAGAAATATTACTGTTTACACATTATTTTAATACCAGTTTTATTTTAATCATCTAGATCTTACTTTTTAAACTGTAAGTACACTGATACCCATCTCATGCTTGTTTTACAGTATTTAAATTTATTCTTGTCATTAGGACTTTATGAGTATGCTACGTTATACAAATAAATTGATCAGATTATGGCTACAATAAGTACAAAATTAAATTAATATTATATAAGCTGTTTTCCTAACGTTAGCGTTACTAATAAAACCAGTTTGAAATAAAAATTGTCATTTCACGTGGTTTGCTTTCGAGAGGATCTGCGAAGAGAAACTATCAACAAATAAACTGTAATGACTTTCACGAAAAACCAAGGAAGAAATATATTTCATTTATTGTTGTACTGTTGCCTTTATTTTCAGTTATTTCGAATTACATTTCGAAATGTTACGCTCTTGTGACTTGAATATAAAGAATCATAATTTACTTGTATTTTATGTCTTTATATTTGTTTTCTTAAAGTGCTTCTCTTCTTCATACGATCTTGTTATGCAACGTATTGTTCAGATATACTTTTAGATAATAATTTTTTTGCATCGCTCAAAAATTTCAGCTCTATATGCAGCTGTTTATATTTTAAAAAATTATCTTTTCTGGAAAATTCATCAAAGAATTTTCACTTACACGAAATTAACACAATTTTCATTTACACTTTGATTAATCTCTTTAAAATGTCGTTTAAACTCTCAATCCTTTTAAAATTGTCTTCATTATATTCTTCATGTAAAAGTTAAAAGTGGGTAGGATGTCGAACACATAGGAGTTGTATGGTGTAATCACCAGTGCACTCGGGCATGGCGTCCAAACTCTCCCGAAAGTGATCGTAAAATTTCTAATTATTCACAGGTCCCTATGATTTAAATATAAAGTACTAAATTTCAAAATTAATTTACTACTACCGTGGTTCACTAGCATGATAACATTTGACAGGTTGCGACGAAATAAAAAAAAATTAAACGAGCTGGTTAGGAAATATAAGTGCAGTCTAATAGTCCATAGAGCTATAGTAAGAGTTCAAATGTTTGAGAGATAAGGAAGCATTTCGAACGATGCATTTCATTAAAAACAACCATTGTTCTTGAAAAAAGGAAGAATGAGCACATAATGTAAATGGAATCAGAATAGGCAACCGAAAAATACATTAATATAAAAAGATAAACATCATACACATACATAGTGATTTGACATCTACATTGGTATTAAGAATGGCTATAAGTCTTTCTACAATATTTGGAGAGCAGTAGTAGTAGTTAGATATTGGGACAGTGCTACTGTTATTTTTCACGAGGCTTAAATGAGAATTATATGCCATAAAATTATAAAGCATTTCTCTCGCCTTCTTAGCATGCCTTCGTGATGTAGTGGTCAGCACGCTCGACGCGTATTCGAGAGGTCCGTGGTTGGAGTCCCGGCCAGGACATTGCTCATTTTACATCTCTTCTGCTTTCAAAAAATACCTAATGTCTCTACAAAATGATAGTAGGAACGTTCTATCCCAGGGATGGGCAAACTACGGTCCGCCGGAAGGTTTAATCCGGCCCGCCGATAGAATTTTAATTTGCCGGTCCGAAGCAAATTTAAAGGAATTATTTATATATTATATAGCTATATCCTTTTGTACTTTGTTTAAATATTATTTTTTCCTTCCTTTTTTTCCAAAGGACTTCCAAATACTTTCTCTATTTTTGTTCTACGAAACATAAATCGACGGAAATAGCAAGCACAGAAAGCTTTCAATCGGTAAAGTGTTAAAAGCGGAAGTTCTTTGTTAGTTATAGCTATAGATTGGCGCCAACAAGAGTTATCTCTTTCTCGGGGAGCAGACACATGGAAATCCAATGTAGGTGATTTAGACCTCACATGTGGCAGACTGCGCGTTTTTAAGCTTCAGCCAGCGGCTTTTACTTTTGGCGCGAGTTCTAATATTATCGCTTGCGTATGGAAAGCCTTCGGACATACAGCATCATTGTAAATACAGTAGTACCTCGCGATACGATGTGTTCAAGATACGAAGTGGAATATCGCAAATATTCGTGCTCGCGAAACGATACGTTTTTCGCGATGCGATCCCAATATCTCTTGACGCTTGAAATTGTTTTGAAGTTGGGGCGCTACGGGCAAACCTCACGCGTCACTAAGCAAGCCTCAGCAAGCCTCAATACGTCACTATTCAAGCTGTTCTGGTATTGGTCGACGTGACGTCATCTTCCTTTCTCTATAAATCCTGTTCTCCTATTGGTCGGCATCACGGCATCGTAGGATACCGAGTCCACACAAAGCGTCGATGTGATATCGTTCTCTCCTTCTCGAGACCGCGTGGCGTTCGTACAGTTCATACGATATTCTTGTGATTGTGTGATCGTAATATTATTTTGTGATAAACTTTATTCGCCATGGGTCCTAAATGTGCTTCTAGTGCTGGTGGTGATAAGGGGAAAAGAAAGTCATCGATAACCATGGAAGTGAAGTTGGAAATTATAAAAAAATATGAAAGTGGTATGCGCATCATGGCTATTGCTAATGCATATGGACGAAATCAATCGACGATTAGTACCATTATAAAGAATAAAGAAGCCATTAAAGCCAGCAAGTCTGCAAAGGGCGTTACCACCTTCTCATACAATAGAACTGCCCTTAATGACGAGATGGAGACTATTCTTCTTATTTGGATAAAAGAGAAGGAAATTGCTGGTGATACGATAACACAAGCTGCTATATGCCATAAAGCCACTGCGATCTTTGAAGACCTCGCAAAAGCCCAGAGAGACGAAGGAGGCGAAGGGACATCAACACAAGAGGCCCCAACGTTCAAAGCATCTCATGGGTGGTTTGAACGATTCAAGAAGAGATCGGGGATACATAACGTGGTCAGGCATGGGGAAGCTGCCAGCGCCGATGAAAAAAAAAGCAGCGCAAGAATTTATCGAGGCCTTCAAAAAGTTAATCCTCGATGAAGGCTACATCCCTCAACAAGTCTTCAACTGTGATGAAACGGGGCTTTTCTGGAAGAAAAATGCCCCGTCGTACATACATCACAGAAGAAGAAAAGAAACTTCCTGGACACAAACCCATGAAGGATAGGCTTACTCTTGCCCTATGTGCGAATGCCAGTGGGGATTTAAAAATAAAACCCCTACTGGTATACCACTCAGAAAATCCTCGTGCCTTCAAGGCACATAATGTGTCGAAGGATAAGCTCGCCGTCTTTTGGAGGTCCAACGCCAAAGTCTGGGTCACGAGGCTTTTATTTGTTGAGTGGGTTAATTGCTGCTTCGGACCTGCAGTGAAAAAATATTTAGAGGAGAATGATCTTTCTCTAAAATGCCTCCTTGTGCTCGACAATGCCCCTGCTCATCCTCCTGGCCTTGAAGAACAGATACATCCCGACTTCGACTTCATCAAAGTGCTCTATCTACCACCGAACACCACTTCCATTCTCCAGCCTATGGACCAGCAAGTCATTGCTAATTTTAAGAAGCTTTACACGAAGCACCTTTTCAAACGATGCTTCGAAGTGACAGAGAGCACGCAACTCACACTCCGTGAGTTTTGGAATAGTCACTACGACATTGTCCATTGCTTAAAAATCATAGAAAAGGCATGGGGTGAGGTCTCAGGGCGCACCTTGAACTCAGCGTGGAGGAACTCTGGGCAGCTGTGGTTGCAGAACGAGACTTTGAGGGTTTCGAAATCCCTACTGAAGAAGAAGCTGTGGATGATCCTGCTCCATTGGAGGAGTCAAAGTCTTTGGGGCTTGTTGTCGATGAGGCTGACATTGACAACCTACTCGACGAGCACAAGGAGGAGCTCAACACTGACGACTTGAAGACATTGGAGGCGATGCAAATCAGCGATCTTCAAGAGGAACATCGTTCGAGTGTTGAGGAGGAGGTGGAGGTGGCACTGACATCTACGGAAATACGGGAAGCCATCGCTTGGTTTGAAAACTTAAACAGTTTTATTGAAACAAAGCACCCAGAAAAAATGCGTACAGCTCGTGCAATGGACAATGTGAATGACATTTGTATGAGTCATTTTCGAAACATTTTGAGGAGTCGTCAGAAACAGGCTTCTTTAGATAGATATTTTTCGAAGAGAAATGCCCCAGAAAGTGAAGAAGCGAGTGTTTCTAGTAAGAAAACTAGAAAGGAAAGTGAAGACGATGATGTATCACCTCAAATTTAAGTTCAGTTAGTTAAAAAAAAAAAAAGAAAAGCAAAAAAAAAAAAAAAAAAATTACAAAAGATAAAAATTATAAAAGAAAATTGATTTTAAGTTTTCATTACTGTGTCTGTAATTTTACATAAGAAATTTAATTTTAAAAGAAATTTAATTTAATTTTAAGTTTTCATTACTAAGTTTTATAAACGCATTGCGCAATTTATCCAGTGTCGTAATAAAAACTATCCCTCGCTGACTGTACAGTACATTACGGTAAGTGAAATTAATTTTTCTTTTCATTTTTTATTTATTTATAAGGTTATTTTAATTTATAAATGTGGTATAAATGTTTATTGTGTGTATGTGGTACTTAATATACTATTTTGTGACTAATTATTATTACGTATAGACGATTTTAGTGTTTATATATGGGGCGATGCACGAATTAATTAAATTACATAAGATTACATTGTTCATTAAACGATTTTTTTTAAGATACGATCCCGGTCCAGGAACGGATTAAGATCGTATCACGAGGTACCACTGTAGTGAAATTATTAAACGTACAGCGTAGCTAGTGCTTGTTTGGGTTATTCGTAAAATATTTCAACTCCAAAATGACTACTAAAAAACGTCAAGTTGATTCCGTACTTTTAATGATGAATGGAACTGGAAATATTTTTTTAGAGCTGTAAAAGATAAATCAGTGAGTCTCATCTGCAATGAAACTGTAGCAGTCTTCACAGAATATAACATTTCCGGTCATTTCCCATCTAAGCATAAGAATTCCAATTACGAATCGATGTCTGAATGTGAAAGAAAGCAAAATGAGAAAGTCTTTGTAAAAAATTATCAGGGCAATAAAATTTTTTCAAGAAGGTGAACAGTATCCAAGAAGCAGCTACACATGCAAGCTACATTGTAGCATACAATAATTGCTAAAAATAATAAAATTCTCACTGATGGGGCGTTCGTTAAACAATGGATGCTCCAAGTTTGTGATGTTGCCGCCCAGTTGGTATAGTGATCAGGGAAGCTGACTGCGATGCCGAAGGGCCTGGGTTCGAATCCCGGACAAGGCATGGTTGTAACTGTTCGTCCCTTCATAGGAAAGGCGATGGTGGCCCACCTGTTAGGTGCCTCCATAATAAAAAGACCACCGCATCCGACCTTGTATAGATTAATGGACTGGGTTACATTTGTAATTGTTCACGATCTGCCGTTGGAAAAAAAAAGTTTGTGGTGTTTTATTCCAGACAAGAAAAATAATTTTGAGACTGTAAGCTTATCTCGAAAAAAGGGGACTTCTAGAATCGAAGACATCGATAAAAATTTGACATCACAATTAGTGTCAAAGATTAGCCAGTTTAAGTTTTGCTCCATAGCTATGGATGAAAGCACTGATATAAATGATACCGCTCAATTAGTATTATTTATAAGAGCTGTTGATGAGAACTTTGAAATTACCGAGGAACTGGCGTGCAAGGGAATTACAACGGGATGTGATATGTTTCGTGAATTTCAGGAAGAGCTTTTAGCTTGGAAAGTGCCTATAACAAATATATGTAATATTATGACCGATGGAGCACCAAATATGACAGGAAAAAAAAATCTGGATTTCTTGGACTCTTTAATCGAAACTATCCCGGGAACAATGTTATTTTTCCACATTGTGTTATACATCAAGATGCTCTGTGTAAATCTGCATTGAATATGAAACACGTGATACAGTCGTGAAGCTTATAAATACTATTCGATCTCGTGGGCTTACTCACAGGCAATTTCGAGATTTTCTTCAGTTCTCACAATCTGAATACTCTGATGTACTGTATTACATGGAAGTAAGGTGGCTTAGTGCAGGATGTGTTTTCGAGCGAGTCTGGCAGCTGAAAGACGACATTGTGTCGTTCTTCCATGAAAAACAGTATTCTGCGGAGAGCGAAATGTTAGAAGATACAGAATGGCTTTATGACTTTGAATTTTTGCACAGATTTTCTTTGTCATACGAGCAGCTTGAATGTCAAGATGAAAGTGAAAATCAATTTATCGACGATATCTGGGCCCATCGCAAAGCTTTTAAACTAAAATTTAATGTCTTTATTGGACAGCTATAGCTAAGAACGACTTGTCTCATTTCCCGAGGTTAAATTCAATACCCTCAGTAAATGAAGAGAAGCTTAAGAATTATTAAGTTTGAAAAACTGAATTTTGAGTTAGAACGCAGATTTCAAGATTTCAGTGCCATTCAAACAGAATTGGATATTTTAACCATGCCTTTCAACACAAATTGTGAAGCAGTGAGGTCAGATTTGCAGCTTGAATTAAATGAGTTGCAATCTAAAAATCATCTCAAGCAGTTGTTTCTAAATATGCCAAAGTTAGAGTTTTACAAACCATTATCGAAAGTAAGTTTCCCAAATTTAATATCTCACGCCCAGAAAATCAGTGCTATGTTTGCTTCATCTTATATATGTGAACAAGTGTTTTCAACTATGAACCTTAGAAAGGACTATTTCAGAACTAGACAGACAGATGAGGATTTAGCCTCGTTCCTTAAAATCAGTGCATCTCTCTTCGAACCCCAATATAAGGAACTTAAAGAATGAAATCTCAGTTTCATTCATCTCATTAACATATTGAAATTGTAATACTTGTATATTGTTTTTAAAATTTTAGAAAAATTTATCTTGGCCCGCGAAACTTTTTTTTTTTTTTTTTTTCCCGATTTTTGGCCTGCGACCGAAAATGTTTGCCCATCTCTGTTCTATCCTTTGGCTTTAAAAATTAAAATGATTACCTTTTGATCTATTCACTGTCAATATACCCAGGCGAAGAATCTCATTCTGAAAACTGCGTTGAGGCTTGAGTTCTTTTAGAAGGACTGCTATTAATTGTTTTCTTAATTAAAAATTTAAGTTTCACTTTTAACATTTCTGTATGTAAATCAAATGATCGTGAAAGAAATGTAGCAAAGGTCACCGCTAGACCCTTTCTTTTTAATCTCTTCATCAATAGTTTTTTCTATTCTGAAAAATTTTATGCTAAAGAAATTGCTGATGCAACTGTTCTAGCAAAACCATTCAATTTACATTTAATGATAAATAAACTTGGGTCTGTCTGCAATCTAATAGAAAAATCTTGCTCCAAATGGGAATACAAATAAAGTAGCAATAAAACGCGTACTATTGAGTCCCACATCTGCAAGCTGAAACAACTTAATTAACGTTCAACATACATTTAATAGCAAATATCGAAGAGTTTATCTATAAATAAAATTCCTTTTGAAGACTATGTAAACTATCTAGACTTCTGGTAATCGGAAAAATCGTTATTTTCCTTTATTTACTCTACCGTTACTTTTATTTCTCTTCATTATTCATTTGTGATTTCCTTTAATCACTGTTTGCTAATCCTCCATCGAAAGGCATTAAAATATCATGAAACTAGACTTCAAAAATTCCGTTTCAGATACATTGCAATTGAGGATTAATTTCTCTCACTAAAATTTTCCTAATTTGACCCACTTTTTTCTCAAAATTAAAGGATTATCTACAGCATACCTTCAGTCCAATACTTGCATTTAAATGCACCATTTTTAGATCAAATTAACTGAAAAATTGTCTTTTCGATTCTGGATTCGCTGTGTTGATAATACTTTTACGTTTTTTGATGATAAAAAAGTTACTTAACAAAAATTTTATATGTTTTGAGTTCGCCTCTAACCATCCATTTTACTTCTGAAATTGAATCAAATAATTCTATTCCTTAGAACTTTAGAATAGTGTTTGTTTGCCGCTCCATGTAAAATCGTGGTAACTTACTGAACTAAATACGAATTCCTTTTACATTTACGTATTCGTGATTTTAAGGTTTGCGCTCAGGATCTCTTTCTCTGGAACTTAACGATTTGAAGTCAGTTACCATTAACAGAAAATTTTTTACCGCAATTCATTGACAAAACTTTTAAAATATTTTTTAAACGTTTATTAAGTATTTTTATTTTTATCTTGTCATTAGAAAAGACATTCCGCTTTTAGAAACAATCATAACAACCTTATCGTTATCTCATCTTATCCTTCGACTAATAAGAGGCTCAATTTTCCTTTGGATTTTTAATCACAATTCTGGCTTTGATTCTGAGAAAATTGTTGTACAGAATTTACTGCGAAAAGTGCTGTAAATCTGTTATCTAATGCAGTAAATTATCTACAAAGATTTTCCAGGTAGTAAACTTGGTTTATTTGAAACCTTTCGCCCTCACATAAATTTATCTTCTGCAGTTAATGGAATAATGGAATTAATTCTAATACAGTTTTTCCTAACGCTTTCAAAAATTCTAATATCTTAGTTTTTTAACTAGCATAGCAGTTTAAAATATTTCTCATTAAACAACATTTTAAGTTCGTTTTATTTTAGACATTTTTAATATGCTTATTAAACTCTTTCTTTGATGATTCTTTCATGTTTCCCATGTCTACATGTTTCATGTTTGCCATGTCTTTCATGTTTGCTCTTTGAGGCACCGCTCATGAAGCGGTATATCAAAGCAAATCGGTTAAATGAATTGACGAGTTTGTATTTAATTTTCTATCGCTTAATATTTAAGTTTCATAATCTATGTAGCAGTTTAATTGCGTGAATAAAAGCGCTGCCTAAAAATTTACTCTTACCGCAAATAAAAGCCATGACTATGATCTAACTAATCAGAGAAGTGAATTCTACTCAAAAGGTCACGTGAGTGCAGGAAATTCACGCTTCAAGCTCCTTTCAGACGGTGATATAAATATAATGTAGGCTTATAGTCGTGAGGCATAAAATGAGGGAGTTTCATTCCCACCTACGAGACAGGGTCTAAGCCGTAGCCAATCAGAGAAGCTATATTTGTTATATTGCACAAAACACAGATTTAATACGACGAAACGGGGTTATATAATATATTTACAGAATAAAGGGTTTTAAATTTGGCACGACGCAGCGTGCAACTTCTCCCTTCAGAGTTCTCGAGCTATCTCTGACCGTGAGTT